CAGATAAACTGCTGGCCGCCGAAATGCAGAACTCTTTGAAGAAACCTCTTAAGACCTTTGATTGTTGTTCGCCGCCGTTTGTCCGAACTTTGCGGCGGTCTTTGCCGGAGCTTCCGCGAAACAAGCGAAAGAAACTGAAGGGTGTTGTGCTCAGCAACAATTTTGCAATTGAACGCTGCGGGAGCGGACTCCACGCTTGCTGGCAATTACCGCGTTGAGCACTCACTAGTGTGAAACCGACCCGTTGATCAAGGTTTGAAGCATGGCTGAGTATGAAAAAGATAGATATTGGGTGACTCATGTTGACCGATCCACGCTGTGCTGTCCCGTACTGCTTAGAGCCGGCGAGCACATGAGGCTTGCCTATTGCGGTTGCCTTGTATCCAGTTGGACCGACGAGCACTTGAGAGGTTTGGGAGGCCTCCACACAGCACGGACCACGGTCTGAGTGCGGCTAAGCTTCAGCATGCTCACAGTCGTGCAGTTTCTTTGCGGGCCCACCGGCTGGAGGGCTGATATCGCAACTGTGGCATATTGACGAGACACAGGGTGCCGGCAAAGCAACTGCATGCTGTGCTAGAGCAGAGCGCTGCCTTTTTGCTTTAGCCCGCTGCGCAGGCCGAAGGAAGTGCAGCACCCGTGAGCGGTGCCGATACAAAATGTAGGTAGGCCGTGCCTCTAAAGATACAATTTCAGGAAGCACGCGAGAAAATAGTCGTCAGTCCCACTCCCCCCCCACCAACTACTACTACTTCTTTTTGTGGCTCCTAGCGAGTAGGAGTAGTAGTAGTAGTAGTAGTAGTCGTCGTCGTCGTCGTCGCGCCCCCCCTGTGCCAAAAAATTGAAGTAGTACTAGTCCTGCCCTTCCCTTGTACCAAAAAAATTTAAGTAGTAGTGGTGGCTTGTCCATTTCTAGGCAAACCCTGCGTGCGCTCTTGAACGTTGTCGTGGTTTTTCCACATCACATTCCCCTCGCCCCATTCCGCCAGACTCTGTAGCTATTCTATTAGGTAGCGTGTCCATTTCTTGCCACTTCACTCTACCCTACCGCCACTCTGGGTAGCATGGCTATTTCTACGCAAAACCTGGGCGTCCACTCGTCTCCTATCCACCTCGTACTCCACCCCACCTCCCCTCCCGCCACTTCACCCTACCCACCTCGTCCACTCCATCTACTCCACACTACCCCACCTTCACCCATCCTCCCACCGCGACCCCTCCCCTCCCCACGCCTCCTCTCTCCCCTCCTCACTCTCCTTGCCTTCCTCTCCTCTTTTCCCCCCCTCCCCGAACCTCCACTACTACTACTTTTTTCTCTTCCCTTCCTCCACAAAACCTCCCTTCCCTTCCCCCCTTTCCTCTCCACCCCATCCACTCCACCTCACCCTACTCCACCCCACCCCCACTCCACCCACGTCCCTGGCGTCCACCCCACCGCCACTTCACACCCGCCTACCCCACCGCACCGTATCCCGCCGCAATGTTAATGTGTAGCCAGTCTAGTGGGTAGCATGTCCATTTCTAGGCAGAACCTTGGCGTGAACCGTCATTTCAAACAAAACCTTCGCGTGTGCTTGTTCCTCTCCTCCCCACCCAGCCGTGGCCATTGTGGCGGGAGCATGTCCATTTCTAGGCAGAACCTGGGCGTGCCGCCTTCAACGGCGTCGTGGTACTCTTTGCTATTCTAGTAAGTAGCACGTCCATTTCTAGGCAGAATGTGGGCGCGCCGCTCTTCACGGCATGGTGGCACTCTCCCACCTGACCTCTTCACCCATCCCCCCACCACGACCCCTCCCCTCCCCACGCCCTCTCCACCCCCACCACTGACATGGTGTGCCGGCTCCTTCGTCGGATGCGTTTCACGCGTTCGTCATGTGCCCATTGGTGAGTGACGTCGGCAAGGAATGATCCCTACAAGCACCATTCCGCTTTCCTGCCACATGCTTGCAAGCGTGATGAGGGCACACGAGCCTTCGATTGGCGATGGCTCCTCAATTCGTGATTCGTGAAACGGTGGGCTTCATGGATTTCCTGTCATATCGAGGATGCATGGCCCGGAGCTCAGGCACCAAAATGAGCCAAGACAGGTCAAGCTACTCTAGAGATCATTGGGTTTCAATCTGTAGACACCTGGCAACAGCCGCTACAATGTCGCATTGCCTCGAATTGAAGGCCATGTGTGGCGCTGGCTGCAACTACTGGGATTGGAATGAGCCGGATGCTCATCGACGAGGGTACGGCACCTGACCTGAGAGTACATAGTCGCAGCAGCTGTGCCGCAGCCTTCCTCAGCCATGACAGTTTTGCTTCAGAAGCGGATACATTCATCGCCCTGTCAATTCCAGCCAGACATGTTTGCATTACGCATTGAATCCTCCGAAACTAAAGACCTTCGCGCAGGTGCAACAACGCAAGGGTTCGAAGCTACTGCGCATACTCGGCATCACCTTGATGCAACCCGAGTTGTGCTTCGTTCACAGTAGCTGCACAGCCCGGCTGAGCCTCATCCGCCTCGCAATCTAGGGATTGGTTTGGGATTCAGTCATGGCTGGGCCGACTTTCTTGACAGTCTGACCGGGATGAGGTTGGCTGAAGACTCCTGAGACGGGAAGTAGCGTGCTCGCCGAGAAGCACAAAGAGGCACGGTGTCGACACTATGGACTCGGCAGTCGGCAACCGAAGGTCCGCGAGGACTCGCTGGTTCGGAAGATCGAGGCTACTGCTTCCTCGTGGTCAGAATCGTGTGATGTGACAGGCGTTGCTTCTGGTAATCATGAAGAGCTCGGGCGATTTGTGGAGTCATGTGCGGTCCGGTTCCCTAGCAAAGGCAGAAAACTCGGTCACTCCCTGTGCACGGCTGGGTTAGCCAGGCGATGCAGCGATCCAACGAGGAGACTAAGCGTCAGTGGTCACCTAAGTCAACTACGGTGGCCGACGGTCGCTGCATCAAGGATCAGTCGCATGTTCTTCCGAATTTTTATGCCATTGTGCCATGCCTTTATGAAGGTGGCAGTTCTGTGCCCGGTACTGAGCAGGGAATAGCAGGGACTCCGCCAACAGCGGGAGTCGTTGCAAAGGCGCGGCAAAAGCCTGCACTCCGAGGATAACCGGCAAGATGGCATTTGTGATCCGACTCGTTCAGGGCCAAGCGACAGCAGCTGGCATAGCAAAGTGTTTGGGCGAGTAGGTCGCAGGCCCCGTTTGCTGAATGCATCTAGCCAGGGAGGCTGGGCATTTCCACTCCGGTCCTGCATGAGCCAAGGCAATGATGTGAGAGTCTTTCAGGAATTCCTGAACGAGCAGGGATCATCGTAGCCTTCGGCAAGCCGTGCCAGCGTGATTATCCTGTAAGGACTACTTGCAGCAGCAGTTCTGAAGCAGGTGGGCAAGTATGATTGTGAACATGGTAGTATCCGCCGTGCTTGCCGTAGAAATCGAGAGATGTACCTCTTGGCCTTGGGCTTGCTTCTTGACCTTTACATTGAGTCCCTAAACCCTACATCCCGTGGGTGTGATTTGCGTCGGGCTGAGCCACCACGCAGGCTCGCCGGATGGATCCATCACAGTACACCACACCTGTGGATGGCAGGGCTGCCGAATTCATGGGAAGGCCTGTCCTGCACAACTCTTTTCCTATATTTGGAACGGGATTTGATGAGGGTGAGGGGTCTTATAGGGGTTCCTAGTCTTAAGCAGTGCTTCGGTAGTGGAGTACAACTCCTTAGCCTTTTGCTGAGCAGCAGATCTTCAGCAGCCAAAAGCCACCCGAGTCCAAAAGTTAAGATCTGTAGCCCCCGTGCATTGGTTTAGTGGGATTAGGGACAAACAGGGGCTGGGAGTGTACACGCGAAGCCTAGATGCGGGAAAGCTAGACACATGAAGCCGCGAGGTCGCCCACTTCGCATCAGCAAGAAGAGGCAAGGCCGCGCGAGTTTTGTTACTGTAGCAATCTGAGGTAAGAAGTTCTTTACTGAGAACTTCCATGAAATGGCCTGCGAGACAGCCGAGCACCTTTTGCTGCTTCATGCCCATGGAAGCGGCTGATGCCTGCAGCCTGCTAGTATGCCCACCTGAAATAGCTGCACGCTTCCCCGTCTCAAGTGTTTGCAAGGGGGGGCCCTGAATCCCTCAAAGATTTCGCAGCACTCCGTGCACTGCGCCCGCCGGGTTTTCAGCCTCATGGATAGATTGCGGTCATTCTCTCCATCCTGACCAGTGTAGCAAGCATGGGGCATCCTCACGGAGCGCGGTGGTGACTTGGACCATATGATGTTTGGCAGACAGTGGGATCTGCATGCTTGAACCAAGCTGCATCTGCCATGCTTGGCTCCAGAGTATTGCAAGTGGTATGGAAATAGGTAGCTTGCTGGAAGATTGGACGTTAGAGTTCGCCATGAGTGACAAAGCCGGCTCTTCGAAAATGAGCGGCGTGCCAAGTGGATCGAGCTCCGCTGCCACCCATGGGGTCCTACCGCCCCGAAAATGGATTCTTGTCAAAGGGGCCTTCAGAGGAGGCACAAGGGAGATGTCTTCACATGCCCTGTGCAAATCTCAACCCTCAGGCTGGGCAGCTGAGCCTCAGGGCCATGCCTAGGCCGGCGGCTGTTCGTCTTCCCCAGCGGCCCTTCTGTGGCAGGTATTGCAGGAGCCGTGGGCCCCGACTTTCCTCCAGAAGTGCCGTGCAAGCGAGGTGAGGGCGTGTAGTATTTCAACATATTATCCACGCTTGCTACCGGCAACCCTCGTTGTAGCTTCCTTGACCAAAGGAATATAAGACTCTCAAATCAAAGAAGCGCTAGAAAAGAGCATGGAGGTGCACAGTTGAAGATTCAAGTATACCAAGCGCAGGCAGTTCGTGAGCAAGCCCGCATGCTCTCGGAGCACAACGACAGTATGTATTTGTTTGACAAGGAATACGAAGGCTCGGCACGAAGATTGAACAGCTCTGGGACAAGAAGGAGCAAGTGAGAATTGAGAAGGAAGATCTTGAGATCACGGTTATGTGCTTGAAGGCCGAGATCGAGGCACTTGACTAGAAGAAAGAACACTGCGTTGGGCTACTTGCATTCAGTGCACGTCAGGTGTTGCTTCTCTGCCACCACGATGGTTGCCCCAGAGCTTTTTTGCCTGTTGCAAGTGCCAGAGAAGCTCACAGATTTGACCGAAATCCTCGAGCTCATGAGGATCCACACCGACACGTCTAACAACCGGTGCTGGTGTGATGCATATGAACTTCTGATCTCCTGAAGGATGCATCTGTGATGACAAAGGCGGACTTCTGTCACGAGTATGATAACCGCAAGTGCGAAGGGTCTTCGGAGGTAAGCCTGATCGAGGAACACATCCATTCTAGGTCAGCTTTAGATAAGGCCGGGCGCCCATCCAAGCGATGGGCATCCAAAGCCGGTGCCTAAAGCCCGTTGTCCCGTGTGTACAGATTGTAGAGGATGGGCAGGGGCTGGTCCTCCGCTAAGAATCTGGATGATGGGAATAGGAAAATGGCTCGGCTGTTGAGCAAGTGAGTTTTCGAGCAATCTGCCAGTGTTATCGCTTCGAGCTAAGGCTCTTCCGTGTGGCTTGCGCCTTGGCAGTCCTTTGCGTCGCGGAGGCTGCCAAATTGAAGTCGTTGGGCACCACCGTCGGACAAGCATTGCAGCAATCCCTTTCCGAGCAGAGTACAGCCACCGAGTATCGCTTGTCTGAGGAGGACGCTTCCCGAACCTGCAACTTGCCGATAGTCTTTGCGTCTTGTAGGCCTTCATGCATGTACGGGGCTTCGTGGGGCTCGCGGTCGAGCGAAGTGCAGGACATCCAGTACGTGCTGAGCCAGGCCCGAGAGGCGAAGCGCATCCGGGTGAAGGATCCGGCCACGGGCGAGGAGTACGATGACGTCTTCGTCAACGAGACGCTGGACGATGAAGAGAGCAGCGGGAGCAACATCTGCCAGCAGGAAGGTGAGAGCTTTACGCCCTCCGTCGCCATCTTGCAAACCGCACAGCGCCTTGCGGAAAGCGAAATGGGGGCGCTGCTCTCGGCCGCGGTCTCCGCCTACGTCGACCTTTCGGAGTACTTCGGCCAGGAGCTCTTCCACATGGAGGCGGGGGGAGGGCCTTTACACTTCTCGGCTTGACGGGTTGGCATGGCCCGAGGCACCAGTGGGCTCGTCGGAACCGGTGGAGGAGCCGCATGGCGAGAAGCTCGTGCAGCTGTCGGAGGAGTGGTCGGCGCAGCTGAACGGCGCCCTGGCTGCCAGAAGCAGGACGCCTTGCGCCAACAGCCCAGAGTTCTTGCTCTTTTGCATGAAGAAGACCACCTGCTTGCTGGAGCACGCCGTGGAGCAGGACCCCCACTTGCTGACCCCAGGACGCATGGCGACCTACCTCGAGGTGGCGAAGGAGGTGCAGGCGGGTGGTTCAACACTTCCATGGAGGGAGCAAGGGGTAGGTTTCATAGTCTACAGTGTTCCTGGACTGCGGGGCATGGCTCAAGCATTCGTTTTTCAGCGATCTGAGTGAGGACCACTACGAGGAGTTTGCAATCCAGGCCAAGCTGGGGCTCCCCCACATACCGGAGCTCTGCGCCGAAGAGGAAGCGAGCCTGGAGTTCCCTGGAAACGCCCTGCTGCAGCTGAAGTCTGAGAGCCAGGCAGCCAGTGACGAGAGGCTGAGCCGCGCGGTGGCCGCGGTCACCCACACCCACTGGGCCTCCATGCGGACTGTGCAGGCTCTATCGGACCACTCCAAGCTGCACCTGCTCGAGGCCTCCTTCTTCACCCGCACCTGGAAGAAGGCGCGGGTGGGTATGGGTGAGGGAGTGCGGCGGGGGGTAGTCAGAGGCATGTGTGAAGCGGTAGCTTGCCGACCAGTCTGCAGACCCATGTGCAGGCGTGCGAGCTGATTGGGTGCAGGACCACGTCCTTCGTGGACATCATGGATGCGTCTGCGGGCCACACGGCAGAGCTGGTGGAGGTGAAGGCATCCTGGCATGCAGTGCGCACCCACCATTTGGCCTTCATGCAGTGGCGGACGGCAGTCTGGGGTGCCATGAATGCCAGCTCGGCCTTCCACGAGAACTTCAGCCATTTCATCTATCAACCAGGTCGGACCAAGGGCGCCAAACGCACCGACCCCATCTATAAGGAGGCTGGCGACGTCATGTCCACGGCCCTGGCGCTGAAGCGAAACGATGACAATGGTGAGAACATCAAGAAGAGTAGCTGGTGGTGCCTTAGTTTCCGGGCCAGTGCCACAGGAGCCTATGGGAAGAAATTCCCCTCGCCTACGGCGCAGTGGGGAGTGGTGACTGGCTTTAAGCTGATCACAGGCAGCACAGCAAACCTTCTGAAACTGCTACAGGGCCAGTCTCCCGTATCAAGCTTGTCTATCTCCGTCGGCCTCACCATCGGCTTCGTCCCAAACATGCCGGGTGTTGGAGGTTGGACAGAGTAAGACGGGCATTCTGATTCGGAAGAGGTTTTGAGGTGCACGGTACGTGGCTCACATCCCCACTTCCAGCACCGCATCCTCTTCATCAAATTGGAAGTGCAACAAAAAACATCAGCTGCGCCGTGCGTCCTCTCAGTGTAATAGTCTTAGCACACCATCATGCGGCGACGAAGGGCTCGAGCGCGAAAGATCGCGAGGCAACTTCTCGACAAGCGAAGTCGGGCTCGGGATCGCGCTCTGTGAAGGGGCCCATCGCCTACAAGCTGTTGGTGTCTCGCACACGCGGTGCGCCTGTGTTTTGTGGTATTCCGGGTGGCACTGAACCAGATCATAATGGCATCCGTGTGCGAGTGCATCCCATTCCACTTGCGCCCATGCCATCAGAAGAACGCTCATGAGCAAGTGCATCCTTGCCAGGACCATAATAACATCCATGTGCGAGTGCATCTGATTCTTCGTGCATCCATGCACAAACCATGATAACGTCCATGCACGAGTGCATCCCCCCGATTCCTCACGCATCCGTGCCGATACGACATCTTGAACCAACTTTTGCTAAAATGCGCGGTTCCATCTTCTTTGCCTTTCTTTACATGACCACGTGCTTATGCTACAATTCTGCATGTGATGGCTTATTTGCAATGCGCGGGTGGCTATGTCGAATGCGGTCTCAAGCTTCTGAATCACTGCATTTTGCACACGACCTGGACGCGAACTAGACGGTCCAGGTGGCTTTTTCTGATTCTTTAGCGACAGCAGGAGCGCCCGTTTCTGCACAGGAGCAGCGCCTCCGTGGTTTCTGTTCGCGTTAAATTGCGCTCAAGGCTGCTGCATGCGCCCGAAACCCATGTTAAGCGCGCGTTCTGAAAAACCGGTAAGAAGCTTATGCAAAAAAAATGGTCTCAGAGAGCGCGTGACACCAAGCTTTTGGCAAGTTTCTTCCGAGCACTGACAGCAGGCAAAGCTGTTCACGGAAACTGTCCCAAGCATTCCTGCCATGATGAATGCAGTGTGGACCCGCCCTGAAGCGGATGCAGAGATGCGGCACATGTGGCGAGTCGAGCCACCCAGCCTAATATTCTGAAGAAGCAGAACCGCAGAAGTAAATAGTAGCTGAACATGCATATGCGCAGAGGGCTCGTTCTACACTCTACACGGCTTCTAGTCTGAGTTAAGCTCGTAACGCAATGAGGCACAGTCACGCTGCAAGTCCTGCTGCCTCTTGCTTAGTCTCTTGTGGGAAAGTGATGGTTGTCGGATCCTTTGGCAGAAGCTGGAAAGGTGTCCGTGCTGGAGTCTCTGTGGGTGGCACGGTGTCCATAAGCCGGACGAGCAACGCCTTCAGCATCTCCCTGGGGCTTGGTTTTAGTGCAGCCACCGGGCACGTCCATCACGTGTTCTGTGGGGGTCCGCCGACGATTGGTCTCTTCGCATGCGGCGGCAGCGTCGCAGCCGCTTTTACCATCTTCTGCAAGGAGCGCCTTCTGGGCATGGCTTTGCAGCTTTGCATGTTTCCTTGCCCTGCATCGTGCGCTTAGTTTGCGGGTCAGGAGTTCAACTTCCTGAATGGCGACAACGGTGCTCCGATCGATGATCCCTGCGCCACGAAGAATAAGGCAGCATGTCTACGTATTGACAATGACAACCTACTAGAGTCCCGGAATGGGCTTGTTGCGTTCGTCACGATGCCCCTCTCCTGACCCTAACTCGAAGCTTCCGAGGTGTACAGGCAGAACCACCGCCGACGCCGTCGGCACCGGTATGACATGCCTGGACAAGGGCTAACCACGGAGGAGACAGCGCAGCATTGCCGCGAGCGCTGCAACCAAGTGTCAGGCTGCGCTCACTACACTTTCTGGCCACACAATGGGCACTGCCGCATGCAAGATCGTGATTCCAGAGCGGAAGGCGCGCGGCGCCGTGCCAGATCCGGCCCGCCGACATGCTGCGCAGTTTCCGGGGCAAAATACGTGGAAAACCACCGCCGCCGCAGGAGAAACAAGGAGGACATGCCCGGCACAAGGAAGAGGAAAGTGGATGCCTACGAAGATTGCAAGAACCGGTGCAAGAGCACGTCTGGCTGCAGCCACTTCACTTTTTGGCCAAGTCGGAACTGCCGCCTCACTAGCCGAGATGCTTCTACCAGGCAGGTGACCGGCAGAAGACGCCCGGTCGCGTCCCCGCGAGACTGCTCAGCATAGCGGCATAGCCTCTGAGCAAGCGATAGCGCTCTATTGGTATGCTGTGGGAGGGCCTCCCGTATTTTTGTTGAGCGATCTTTGCCTTTCGCTGCGACAATCAGAGTTGTGCACCCAGGCCGAGGGTACAGACGAAAGACCGGCGAGATATTTTGTGTTTGCAGTTTTCGCTCAGCCGCCTTTTTGCGGCTACTTTGCTTCGACTTGGCAGCGTCAGTGCCGTAACCCTAAACTCCTAAACCCTGCTACCACCCTGGGCCTAACCCTAAGCCCCAAATCCAAACCTCCAAATCCGTCAGGAAAGATTCTCTCCGTCGAACGACCCCGACTATGACAGGCCTCAGCCTTTGAATCATGGGCTTAGCTAGTGAGCCCTAGCGCTTCAATGAGCAGAACATGGGCTCAATCAGGGCAAGGGTATGTTTTCAGGGGGGGATTCGAGCAAAGCGAGGAGGGTGTGGATGCTGCTTGTCTGAGCTCTGCAGTAAGATTAAGATACTTCCACCGTGCGCTATCATACACCGAACCTGACAAAGCAGACCCGGAGCCTTAAGTGCAGGGGTGCCCATTGAGCAGTGGATTAGAGCTGCATGCGGGCTGAAAACCTGCAGCACGCCTAGGCTGCAAAGCATCTCCCCCCTTGGCCCCGTAAACTGGACCTTATGCGCACCTCATTTCCTCGTGCTTTTCCCCCTCATTGTCAATCCGAAACCCTAAACTCCTAGCCATAACGTTTAAAAGCAATACATCCTCCCCCCTTGAAGGGATCCTGTTTTTTCCCCGGAATTCATTATCTTGTAGGATCCCTCAGAAGATCAAAAGCTCGGAGCTAAGAATAGGGGAAGCGGCCTCAAAAGCCTGAACCCCAAGTCTTTCGCCTCGCCTTCTCTGAGGGCCGTGCCATTTTGAACAGCGAGAGATCTCGCGCAAAAAGTGGATGCCACCCGAGGGGGCTTGGGGGCAAAGGAGCTTGGGGTAATTCTAAAGGGTAAGTTTCAGGCTGACAGGAAGGAGATGAAACCGTTGCGTTGCCCCTCCTCGGAGAGCCGCAGGATTCTAAGCAGGATATGACAATCACAAGAATAAGAACAAGAACCCGAGAAGCAGATCCTGATTGCGCATGCTTGTACCAAGGTAGGCTGGACTGTGGACTGGGCCACATGCTTCTGGTATCTATTTATTTATGAACTGCACATTTTGACGACTTCTCGTGCACACTGCGATTGGGCGAATGCTGACCCAGAAACCTAAAGGCACTCGTAGTGGCCACGTGCGCGCAGGCTTACTGTCCGCCGGAGCCTCCAGAGGAGCCAGGCACTCAGCTGAGAGGGTTGGACCCGAGGAAGTGGAAGCCTAAGCCCCTAAACCCTCATAGTGAAGATTATCCAAGCTCTAAGCCCTAAACCCCAAACATTCACGCGGATGCACGGGGCCTACCAGGTTCAAGCAACCTTCCTGGAAAGGATCTAAGCCACGAAGCATGCAGCGCCCCTACTGCTCAAACCCTCAAGGGGTTTCGGGTTTTTAGGGCTTAAGGCTTGCCTAGGGTTGAGGGTTAAACCCTAAACTCTAGACTCCCGACATTCACGGGTCCGCCGGAAGTGCCAGCTGCGGTGCTTTGCCGCATGGCAGCTCCGTTGTCAACCTTCTTGGGCCTTCTTTGAAGCTCTTCGGGGTTGGGCGACAGGATAGTGCACTATATGGCCATGCCAGCAATGGACACTCACACGTGTCCTTTCTCACTGGAGTCACAAAGTGCTCCGGGACGCGCTTTGCTTAAGGGCCTGTCCTGTCCTCTGCGCAGAATTCGCCGAGGAGATGTCTTTGTCGCTGCGCCTCGAAGCGCAGGCTCGTCGAAGCTGCTGGCAGAAAGAGGCCCGGTCAGTCTCTCGCACTTTTACCTTATGCATCCTTATACTATCCCAATGGAGCTCTCTGCCTTTGCTGTGGGAATAGGGTGGGGGCATGGGGTGCCAAACGTTACCCTGAGATCTAGTACGCACTCCGGGAAAACCCACGCCGCCCATGCTGGCATTGCTGCACTACACCTGGCGCCAAAGTCTCTTGGGACCTGCATTCTGATTCGCATATGACTGCCATTGCTGATCTCCTGCCTGCTGGTCTTGGTAGAAATCCCAGCGGCATGGCACAGTATGTCTGCTCTTCTTGTCACTATGGGCTGTATCACTACTCAACTCGGACTCTTGCAGTTGTTCTCCCAGTCCTCATCGTTGTCTCGGCTTCGACAGGATCTTCAGAGTTTGACGGAGCTTTCGCGTGGGCGGCTGAGATGAAGTATTCAGCCGGAAGGCTTGAGGAGTATTTGCAGTACGTGGTGTCTTCCTTATGATGGTCACAGCACAACTACCGAGCTAGAGTCGCTAGAGTAAAAAGATCGCACTTCTTGACCTCGGGGTCGCTTCTGCTGTAGTACACCAGCGAGCGCCGTGCTCCTGAAGGCTCGGAGGGCAAGTTGAAATGCTCCTCTTGGGAATACCTCCCGATTGCAACGTCTCCAGCTCGCAGATGCACAGCACCGAAGCGATCATCCCCCAGGTGGACGCAAAGGTCGCCGCCTTTGACGTTGGTCAGGGGGACGACGAAGCCGAGGCCAACGTCGTT